GTGGTGGTGGTGGTGGTGGTGGAGGTGGTGATGGTGATGGTGATGATGGTGGTGATGGTAGGTGTCACTGGGTTGGTTTCACTCATAGCAACTCCAGGCCCAACAAAGCAATATACTGCTCAGTCCTGTACCATCCTCACAATTGTTCATATGTTTGAGTTCATCGTTGCAGCATACAGTAGGTTATTAGGGCCAGTGCAACACCTTTCCCTAAAATTGGCTTCTTAAATATATACATGTTCTTTAAATGTAGAGAGATTATTGTTGCTGTATGTTGCCTTCCTGTCAATTCAGGCTCCTGACAACTCTACATGTGCAGATGATAACTGTTCTCCGATGGTTTCAAAGTTGTGATTTGGGGGGGAAGGTTGAGAGGCCTTTCTTCAGAGGTGTTTTTGGGTGGGTCCCCACTGCCAAACTCTAGACTAGGAGAGCAGCAGGTGTTGGGGAACGAGGAAGAGGCCTTGGAGAAACTTTACTGAGGTTCTCATAATTTAAGTAAAAATGGTTTAGTTCTAAATCTATTCAGGGCAAATAAACGCAAAGGTCTAATAGCTGTTTGGAAATATTCATAGCAGAGATGTCAGGATTGAAAAAGAGCTCATTTGCTCAGATTGCATCACCAGTCCCAGGCTGAAGGTGTCACCTTTTTATCAGGATACCCAGAGTAAGAGTAAAGCTACTCGCTGGGTTTCAGAGATTTAAATCTTCATGGGAGTAGATAGCCTCGTCTCTTCCTGGCAGAGTGGCTGGTGGTTTCGAAATGCTGACCTTAGAGTTTACAGCCTAACAAAGCCACAAGAGTGAATCAAACTCACTGCCATCAAGTGGATTCTGATTCCTGGTGAACCTAGGACAGGTTAGACCTGTCCCTGTGGATTTCTGAAGCTGTAATGCCTTATGGGAATAGAAAGCCATCTTGCTCCTGCTCAGCATCTGGTATTCCCATCTGAACACCTTGTGGTTCACAGCCCAATGCTTAATCATCAATCCACCAGGGCTCCTCTAGTGGGATCAAATTGATGACCTTTCAGTTAGGCTTAACGACTGTCCCGCCATTTGTTCATTGCTCTACGTATAACAAACGAGCCAGCCCTCTCAACTTACCCTTCCTGCGTAGTGCATGATAGTGAATGCTGTGCCGTGATCTTTGAGGGCAACATTCCCGTTCCCATCCTTCATGGGGGAATACACTGCGTTGGTGTTTGAGGATGCCAGGAGACTTTGCAGCTTCTTTGGGAGGTTTGTTTCCATTGACCACATTGTTTCACATTCTTCATCCAACAGAGAGAGAAAGCCAGATGGTTTCTGAAAATTAAGAAGAGAGAGTTGTTTCTTACACCAGACAGTTCAGTATTTTGGGTATTATTCTTGCATGCTCATTTGAGTTTTCATTAACAGCACATACTCTTTTATACTCATAAAATGCATTAGTCTTGATTTTAATAGATGTTTCTTTTTACTCACTGTTGTATCTCTACCACTTAGCATGGCTTAGGTTCAAAGCAGATACCCAATAGTATTTATTAAATAGAAAGACGACTAAAAAAAATGAAAGAATGTGTAAGGGGTTACTCAGAAAAAAATAGAACTTTTTTTTCAAAGCTATGTGTTGAAATTTTTTTAATAAAACAACCCTATCACCTTCAAAGTACTCTCCATTACACTGAATACATTTGTCAAATCTGCGTTTCCATTCTTGGAAACATTTTTCAAACTCATATGTTTGGATGGTTGACAGCACCTCCCTGGTTTTTTTCCCTCACCTCTTCTATGTTGTCACATCTCTGTCCTTTCATGTCTCTCTGAATTCGAGGAAACAATAAGAAGTCACTTGGAGTGAGGTCAGGTGAGTAAGGTGCGTGGAGCAAGAGAGGCATGCTGTTTTTTGTCGAAAACTAGTGCACTGAGATGGCTGTTTGTGCAGGTGCGTTGTCATGGTGGCAAAACCAGCCTCCTATCAGTCACAAATCAGGCCTTTTTTGGGTTGCAAACTGTGATGCAATCTTTTCAGAACCTCTAAATAGAAAGCTTGATTAGCAGCCTGGCCTGGTGGACCAAACTCCAAGTGCACCGCGAGTCAACATTTTCGTACATTCAGGAAGTTGATGAACATCCAGAACAAGGTTTGTCATCAACCTACATTTCACCTTTTTTGAAATGAGAAAATCACTCTACACTTGAGATTTTCCCATAGCGCTGTCCTTGTAAGCTGTGTTCAACATCACAATAGAGTCTATGATATTTTTCCTGAGCAGGAAAAAAAAAATCCCAGCCACATGCTGTTCTCTTGAATTGGCCATCACAAAAAAAAAAAAGAGGCTCAAGTGAAACTGATTTTATGAAAAAAAATCACTGTGACCAAAGAGAACCCTCCCAGGTGACACCACTGGGTGCACTAACTCAGAGCAAGTTGCTCAATGCTTGCCTAACAGGAAAAATGCATACTACAATAAAGCCCAGTGGAGCTTTTTACCAGTTTTGGGGGCGGTATCCCCTCGTATGTTATGGCCATCAAAACTTTGGATTACTAAAATAGAACATCCTTATTTTAGTAAGAAAAAATTCGAAAAAGTAGTAATTTGTTATCGACACATAACCTATATTGATCACTTCATAATTGGAATATGAAGAAACAAGTAATTTAACAAAAAAGAAAACAAATACGAAGTACATAATTTTACAAAGTGTAAAATTCTTACTCAGAAGAAATAAGTGATTCTACGATAGTACAGCATTTGGAGCTAGAGAAAAAGCATTTTTAAATCATTTATGATTTCAAATTGGTAATCTGATAGCTCCTCCTGCTCAACAAGAGCACTACAGTCACATAATAAATATATTTAAATTTCAATCTCATTTAAAAAAAATGATGCTTAGAAGTTTTCTGAAAATGTTTTGGAAATGATGATGGCAACGTATATACAAGTGTGCTTGATACAAATGAATTATGGATTGTTATAAAATCTGTAAGATCCCTCAATAAAATGATTAATAAAGAAGTACATTCCACCCTCCAATATTTCAACTCTCCATAGATAGAATACTATTCTCTCCACATAGTTTAGGCATTAGCTGGATTCCTTTTTACCTGGGGTAGTTTTTCTTGCTTTTTCTCCTAGGCATCCAGGAAATTCTTGTTATTGCTGTTGACAAATCATCTCTACCCTATTAAATTGAGGTAATTTAAATAAGGTAATTTACCCTATTGTTTCACACTTATCGCTCATCAATCTTCACTCGTCACACTAACTTGATATACTTTTAAAAATGAGCGACATAAAAAATAAATTATCATAAAATTGAAAGATGTCTATAACTCCTGTAACCATTTCTGTTTGTATTTTGATCATATCACACCACCGTATGGATCCCATGATGGCATTTATTCAGCCAAGAAAAGACCATTTCTTTGTACCTTCAATGTTTTCGTTGTTTTAAACAGGATACCATATACCCTGGCTTTAAAACTTTCAGTTTCATGCTCATATAGAGGCAATTTGAAAACCATATGCAGTTTTCAGTGAGCTCATTTAGAAACTAAAGGTTAAATATCGCTGGTATTGTAAAAGAAAGGCCACTAGAGGCCATTCTTTTAGAGATACGACTGTGACCGCTATTTGAGAACTTAGTTCTTCAAGATAGAAGAACCAAATAGATTCTCTTGGAAGGACAGGGGGAAGGTGAATTGGTAAAGTGAAGACTAACAGAAAGCATAATGGAGAATAACTGGAAGATGCATGTCCATCTATCGACCTGAGCAAATTTACTAGAACCAACAATACCTGGAGAGAGTTTTGTTATCAATACCGAGTTTCAGAAGAAGAAAGTTATATGGAGTGCTATAACAATTTTCTCTAGAACATTGAAGGAAGTCATATGTGGGAAAAGATTGGTCTAAAATGGATGAAGGAGAAGTCCTAAAAGAACATGGTCTACATAAAAAGATACTGAGAGCTAGACTTTACTATTATTATTTGTGTTCGTGTTGACTAGACAAACAAATTCATAGATGCTCATATGTGTGTATGAGAGAAGTTTATATCAAAGAGTAATTGTACATTAAGAAAACATCCTAGCCCAGCCCAGATCAAGTCCATAAGTCCCACATTAGCCCATATGTCTAATACCAGTCTATATATTCCTCTTCAGACTCATGCAAAACATGCAATGACGCTGAATGCAGGAAGATCACAGGTCAGTGGGTGGAAAGTTTTGTGGATCCAGTGGTGTTGGAAGCATCTCAGCAATGGCATGGGTCTCCACATTGCTCCTCCAGCTCCAGTGCTCTAGTTCCATCAGCATAGCTCCATGTGTCTTTTCAGCAGGAAGATGAAGCAGAGAGTCTGGGTTTGGCCTACAGTGAACTATTTATGTCCAAATGAGGTGATCAAGCTGCAACTGGATGGACAGGCTAACTTCCACCCCATTCACTTTTAATAGTCTCAAATTGACACCAGATTTTGTAACTATGGAATTATTATTTTGGGGGGAGGGGGTGGGGGAAGATCTATTCTTGTAAATTACGTATTTCAACTTCTAACAACCTATCTACCAAAGATAAGTAAAATGTTGATATTATAATGTCACAAGTGTTTCTCTATTATATTACTATGAAAATCTTGTCTTGGGATTTTCTATATGTCAAATATATCCACCCACAAAGACATAGTCATATAAATAAGCACACAGATAAATACTTTTAGAAGAAAAAATGATTATTTAAAGGCTGCCTGAAAGTGTGCCCTTATTTCAAGGATAGTGAGAGACCTCTTCTTCAGGGGTGGGGGGTGAGAAGTTTCATGCTGTTTTCTGTGGTAGTTACATAATTTTTTTTCAACTTGAAGTGTAGGGGTGTAGTATAGCCTGTCAACGAGGTCACAGCCTGAAGGTGACTCCTTGTGGGTGGGATCTTCTCATGGAAGACCCTGGAAGCCTTCCTCTCTCTCTCTCCCTTCACCTTTCTGTTGAGGGTCCAATCTGAGACCTGCACAAGTCCTGTGATGCTTCCACCTCCACTTGACCCACAAGAATTTTTACCCACTGGCCTGTGATCTTCCTGCATTTTGCATTATTGCTTGTGGTTGTGTGAGTCTGAATAGGGATTTATGGATTGGTATCAGACTTATAGACTTGGTCTGCTCTGGGAGGGAATGGGTTCCTTATATATAACTACTTCTTGACATAAGGCTCTCTCTCACACATATATGAGGGTCTCTGGTTTTGTTTCTTTAGTCAACCTGAACCAACACATTTCCTAAAGCACTTAAATATGTTTCAATAATGTAAAGACAATTTAGTGTATTGGAAGGGATTGATTGAAAGAGAAGTAAACCAATTGATTCCAAAAACTAAGAAGGTGTTTTCCAAGAATACAGTGATTGGTAACTAACAAGGTTTTAAAAATTGCGAACGATCATTATGATTTCTAGATGTTTGAAAGTCATGAAATAATTATAATAACTAAGCCTTCTAAATGTTTGAAAGTTGCAGAAGTATCTGAAGTAAACAGAACATGGTAAAGTAAGTCATAAGAAAAGATTTGATGACATTTGACTTCTTCAAAAGTGAAGTGTTAGAAGTGACTGAATTGCACTAATGAGGAGGAAAGGTTTTCATTTTCATTATAGCCATCAAACGCATCAAGTACCCAAGGGTGCAAAAAAATGTACTACACACTTAAGAGAACTTTATGAGAATCTGGTTTACTTATTCCCAAGGTCATAAGGCAAATACATGATATTTTAAAATAAACATAGAATATGCAGAAATTAAAAGTGCTGATCATAGGCTTTTAATGAGCCTTCCTCCAATCCTGAAGATGCACGCATCTCTAAATAGTCCAGCTTCTTAGATGATCTGCTCAACAAATTAAATAAACATGGTGAAACAATGACAACCCTGACACACACCTTTCCTAATTTTATCCCTTGGTTCTGTCCAAATAACTTCCTCTTGTCTGTGCACCCCACATGAGCACTGTGAGGTGCTCTGAAGCTCCCATTCTTTGCAGTTTCCCATGGTACATCACTATCCACACAGCTCGATGTCTTTGTGCAGTAATGGAAAGGCAGGTCAACATCTTCTGGGGCTGCTCTGCTTTCACTCAAGACATGTCTGATATTCACAATGATATCCCTCATTCCACTTTTTCTGAATCTGACTGGCATTTTTGGTGGCTCCTTGTGGATGTACCACTGCCACGTTCTATTTGCATGTGATATGAATAATATTGTTAAATAACTTCTGCATTCTGTTGGGTCACCTTTCTTTGGAATTGGTTAAAATATCTCCTAACGTATGTTGGT